TCCGGGTCTGTTAGTGGTGACTCGGTCGGCAGCTGGAACCGGTATTGAAATAGCGAGGCTGTTGTCGATGTTTATCGATAAGCTGTCTATGTTTATTCGAGCGTTTATCCAGTTTGAGACATGCGGCATTCGTATCTGAAATTTGTCATTCAGTTGTTGCGTGCACATGTTTATTTGACGGCAGATTAGTGGATGTTTATGCCATTTGGGCGTGGGTGACGTCACCACCGGGCCAGGCTGACTGCTTCATCTTCTGCCCTCGGACATTAAAAACACACGGCCAGATCTGTATATGTTATGCTATGCATCTTAATCCAGTTATGAGACCCAGTGTCTGCTGTCCATATATGGCCAGTTTCGAAGTGAATCATGCACTGGAGACGTGCCGATGTTAGGACATGAGGGAGCTGCTTCGCGGCAGCCCCTATCCTTATATATTGGTGATTGCGTGCGTGGAGGTGTGGTGTTATATTCTTGACTGAAGTCCGCCCCCCCCCCCCCCCCAACAGAAAACTGTCAGGTGAAGAAATGACGTAATAGTAACGTTTAATTCTAAAACAAGTGTGCTAGATGTTGGGCTCAGCCGTGCCGCCTCTCGAACGGGCAGTCGTTTGGCCTTGTGCGCAGGGCAGGTGGTACCGCAGGACCATAATTTTGGAATACCCGAAACGGCGCCTGGTGAAGAGGCGCGTTATTATGAGGAAAACACGAACACCTGTGGTGTAACTGGAGCCCCGTAATGTGGTCTCTCGCACGAGCGGCGTCTGACATCCTTTTCCGGGGTCCGCATTTCCTCTAACGGCGGAATGGGATGTCATTTCCCGCTTTCACTCGATTCGGGCACGTCTTAGGGCGGCTCTGGACCGGCGACAAGGGGCCACGGCGTGGCCGAGCGGGTCTCTCCCGCCCACGTCACCCCTGCGACGAATCGCCGTGACCCCAATACGAACCAGGTGGTGGCGCGCTCTCCGGGCCCGTCCGTGGGCGGCCCGGCGGCGGCTGGCGCTCGTCACCGGCCGTGCCGAGGCGGCCGGTCGGGTCGGGCCGGGCCGGGCCGCTCGCCGTCGTCGGCACGCTGTGGCGGTCAGCTCCGGGTCGCGGCTGGGACGCGGGACCGGCGACTGGCCACAGCCGCCGGTCCATAGGAGTACTGCCTCTCCTGCCGCCGTCGTGCCGCGACCCGCTCACGTCGCGTCCCCGGCAGAGTCCCCTCCCCGTCTCCCCCTTCTCCGAACGGCGGACGACGTGGGCGTGCTATTCTCAATAAACGGCAGGGGGCTTCCCGGCTGCTAAACTCGGTGTGGCGCCTGGAGGTCAGCTTGGGCCGGTGCCCGGGGTTTGCCCTGCCCTGGGCGTCCTGTTGGTGGCTCGGCCATCAGCCTCGTCTGTGACGCCGCCGTCTCCACCGTTGGACGGGATAACGGGCGACCTCGCGCGGGCCAGCCGGCCCGAACTCTGATGTAAGTTTACAGAGCGGCCGACTGCCTGACGTTAGGCCCCGCCTCCGGTGGCGCCGCGTAAACAGTGCTGACGCGCCGCGGCCGGTTCAAATCCGGCCGGCGCCGGCGCCACGCAGTCAGTACCGTGCCGCCCGCCGCCGCGCGCACCGCGAGCCCCCGCGGTCGACAGCAGACCGGTGCAGTCGAGGTGACCGAGCGCTGGGCGTGCTGTGTCGGACCTCGGGCCGAGGCGCTGCTCGGCGGCAGAGCTGGACTCACTCGCGCGGCCCACGTGTTTCCGGAGTTCGGAGGCCGCGCCGGGGAAATGTTGCTGCTCAAGGCTATCTTCGGGCCGGTGAGACACGCGGCCGACGTGGCACCTGAATGCTCGGCGCCCAGCCGATACGCATAATGTGACCGTTGTCGGGCGGTGTCCGATCGCATCAGCCCGTCTTTTGCGCTGGCTGGGACCGCGCTGCTCACTACGCCCCGGCGAGTTCTAATGGGCGGCGAGAGGCTGATGTTGCGCAACCGGAAAAGGCTTGCACCGAGCACAAAGGACGAGATCAGAGATATTCAGAATGCGCTGGGGCTTCAGATGGTATCAGGTATTGTTTGGCATCAGGGTTAAGAGATTGGTTTTGAAAGAGCGTGTGCAGTGGCTGACGTTGGTACTAGTCTGGTTGAGTCGTGTCGACATAAGGGCATTAAGCCTGCGAAAGAAGCCTTCTGAGCACATCTTTCTGAAGCGGGGCTAATGTCGTGATTCAGAAAAACTCCTTTCAATCTCAACAATTGCAGAATTAAGGAGCAACGGTCACGTTTTCGCGTTTTGAAAACTTCGAGAAAAAAATGAAAAGAACAAGCGCAAACCTACGGAAATACTATCAGTTCTGGATGTTTCACTCCGCGCCCTGTGCTGCAACGTCGTGATATTAAGTACTGGCATAGCGCTGGCAGACACGGCTGTTGCGCACCAGCCATTTACGGGGCCCTCGGTGAAGCCAACACCTTGCCATGTGGCAGCAGAAAGACCGAATACCTGGCTGGTAAAAAGAAAGGTACCAAAGGGTCTTTCGTATGAGACACAAGTTTTGACAGGTTTGGCAGGATACTTTTTTGGCGGCTCTCTGTAACCCTATTACCGGTGGAAGATTTCACCCCCACCACCACTCCCCCCCCTCCCTATCCCATACTCGTGTTTCTCGCCGGTTTATCTCCAAAGCGATTTGCGGGAGGTCTTGCTTAACATCTTGTCTACGCACTGAGTCCAAATTTCGGATGCAAGGCAAACGCGGAGGTGGTTCCAGGGTCCGGCATTGGGGGGGACCTCCAGCAAAATTTAGTGATCATGCCAAGATGGCGTGATCATGTGCACTGCTGTGTTCTTGAAGGAGTCATTGATGCTATCGGTGGATAGGACAATTACAATACGAGTATGATTACTGCAATGCAGCAAAACTCGCACTGTTGGCGTCATTTGACGAAAGCAAATGACGGAACTGTCACGACCACGCCTTATTAAGTCTAATTTGACAGTTGCCAAGTATCCACCCATGTGAGTCACTGCTGGGGGAATGGTCGGACTCTGCGCAGTGGTTTTCCGTTGGCCGGCGGCTGGCTGCGCGACGTGACGCTGCGCCAGCTGGCGGCGCGCGCCTGGCGCTACCAGAGAGCCGTAGCGCGGCAGCGCGCCGGCGCCCGGTCAGAGGGTGGCGGCCCCCGCCGCGGGCAGCGCCGGGTCACGCCAGGGCGACGGCCGGGGTCACATCAGCGACCGGCGCAGCCCGTCTGGCCAGCCGAACCGCCCCGGCTGTTTGTTTAGCTTATAGGCGTTAGGCTGGTCGGCCGTTTTTACGGCGCTGTTAAGTAACTCCGTGTATAAACATTTGGTGAGGATATTATTCGTTGTGCGTGAAAGCAGGGCGAACTCGGTAAAGGAAAACAAATCGGGGGAAAGAAAATTCGGGCTGAGCTGTGGTCGTGCCAGTTGTATTACAAACAATGGGTGTTTTAATTGCGCAACAAGTGCGTCCTAAAGTGCTAACAATATTCAAGGTATCAACGGAAAGCATCTCGTATTCTTGTTTTTCCCAGGTAGTCGGCGTGACAGATAAAATTACCTAGATATACATTTAACTGGCCTATGTCAGCTGGTACAAAGCAACCAATGCGGTGATATTCACGTTACGTTAATCCAGGATAGTTTTACCCGCGAAACACAAGTTCAACTGAACAAAGGACAGCGACAGCTGTATAAGCCTTTTTGCCATACCTTCGCAGTCTGACTGGGGGGATCCATGTGTCCGCATGTCTGGCATTGTATGAGACAGCGCCTACAGCAAAGGGCTGTCACATCGTGAATGGGGTATATCTTTCGTGCCGTTTAGCATGTGCGCACCTCGCATTGTGAGAACTTATCGTGGCCTGCACTCTGCCATGCGTACCACCTAGCTTACGAGTACTGGGAGTGATACAACCCTACTGCATAAACTATTGTGCAGTCCCATTCTCACTGGGTGACAACTCGGAGCTTGTTTGTCCTGCCGGTGGTTCCGGAAAGAGCACCAGCCGTCCTACGCCAGCTCAGTGTGATGATATCATTATTTGCTTCCGAACAGTGCTCAAAGCGTGCAGTACGGCGAAGGTTTATATTCTGATGCGCTGGTTTACCGCTGAAAACCACGACCCTCGCCGCCGCGATATCTGGGATTTCAGCGGGTCAGCGCGGAGGCGCCTCCGGCCGCGTGATTCATCCCTGACTTGGAGTTGCCGCCGCCTGTCACACGTGCCCCTATGTCGGGCACGTGCTGTCCGAGTCCAGTGTCGCGAGGATCTGGCTGTCATCAACGCGGCCGGCCCGGTCGGCCGGGTCGAGCCCGCCTACGCAGAAGGAGGGGCTCGCTGCGGAGGCTCGCCGCAGCGCGAAGACCCGCCGGCCGTCGGGCGGGCTGACGCCGGCGCGCGGCGGGTGGCTCCCGGTCGCGTGTCGCGTGACGGCGGCCGCGAGTCTGCAGCGACACGGACTCCGAGTCAGGGCTGCGCCAACGGCCGCCCGCTTGGCGCGAGTCTGGAGTCGGAGTTGGAGCCGTTTACGCCCTCCCCCCTCCCCACTCCCGAGGTGGCCACGCCAGGCGTGCGGCGCGTCAGCCTTGGTGACGAAGGCCTCACGCCGGTTCGTTTACGGGTCACGCGACCCGGCCGGAAACTCTTGGTGTCCGGCGTCCCACGCGTCTCCAGGCGGGCGCATCCCTCGCTGCCCCCCCCCCCCCCCCTCCCCGCCCCCGATGCGCTGCTTTGCGCGGAAGGAAATACGTGGAGTGCATGCTTGAGTAGCCCGCCTCGATGTAAAATGCATGCGGCCATAAACGCCACTGTCGGCTTCCGATGCGTGTCGTAGCCGGACGCGGCGTTCTGCATCCGGCGCAGCGTGGAGACAAAGGGAGGCGGCGGATGCGACCGCGCACGGACGCGCCGCCGCTCCGCCGTCGGCCCGCCGTGACCTGGCGGGGCGCCGCGGAGACCGCTGCCGACCGACTGACCCGTCCGCCCACCTTTCAGACGTACGGCCGGGACAAGGATGGCAGGAGCAGCACGGAGTCGCCCACCGCCTCGCCCAAGTCACCGCCGCGGCGGCCGGCCAACGCCCGCGCACAGAAGAACGCGCTCATACCCAGGCAGGTGTTGCGGCGTCGCTGCCGGCAGGCGGTGATGGCGGAAGGAAGCTGGCCGTTACGACCGTTGCTTTTGTCTGCGTGGCGGTGCGGATTCCTGTGTGTTGCTCGTGCTTTGTTGCATGCTCGTGCTTTCAGGATCGCTGTGCGGTCGCCGTGCAGCGCGAATGCGAAATGCCCGTGATTGAATGCGCGGAAGCGACACGCGGAGCCGGTGCGCTGGGGCGTCGGCCGCGCCGCGCCAGGGTGTGCGGTACTTGCCGGTGACCTCAGCTGCGACATCGAAAGTCCCTCGTGACCGGTTTGGGGCATCGTACCGGTCACGGCCGGCGGCGCCACGTGGTGCCGGTCGGCGGGATCTGTGGCGTGTGGCGCGTCTGGCCGGCCGGCCGCGTGTCCATCCAGACGGCCGAGTGCAAGGTCAAGTGTACCGCCGGCGCCGGCGCCCGACGGCTGGTTGCCGGCCGTGGCGCGCCGCCGGCGCGCCCGGGGGGGGGGGGGGGCCTTGTTTCCCTCCGTCGCCTGGACGGTCAGGGTGGCCTCGCACTGAGGAGAGCTCGCGGTGACGGGTAGGGTTGGGGGACTGCTTACGGTGACGGTAGGGTCCCCCGCCGTGAGGACAGCCCTCGGTGACGGTCAGGGGCCCCTTCACGGGACTCTCGCAGGGGTTGCGCAGCTAGACAAGGCGACCTCGCCGGGCAGCGGTGGTGCGCCGCTGGCTGGCCTATATCGGTCTGCGGCCGCACCGTTACGGCGCAATAGGCGGCCGGGGAACCTGGGATCGGGCCCGCCGCGGCGACGGAGCTACAAAATAAACACTGTCGCCCCGCCCCCGGTAAACAAGCCCCCCCCCCCCCTGCCGCCGCCGACTGCGACACTTTCACTCTCTTGGGACGGCGGTTTGGTCAGGTCAGGTCAGGATGTGGCGGGACCGGCCGTCACGCGCCTGGTCAGATCAGCGACAGAAGGTCAGACGAGGACGTGACGAGAAAGTCATCAGGGGCGAGGCCAGCACTGGGAGCAGTGTTTTGGTCAGGACGGCGCCGCAATATCGTGCAGGACGGGACAAAAATCGTCCCATTCATTACACAACCAACCTGGACTGGATCAGACAGGCTATGATGGATAAGAATAGTACCAGTCGCAACAGAGAGAATCACGAGGTGACAGGCTGGCGCGCTCCTACGATTGCCGGCCGTGGTCAGGTCAAGACTGGGATCCGCAGCTCCAGCTACCGCCGCCGAGGCAGCGTCGTCGTCTTTAGGCAGGGTGTCATATAAACACAGCACAGTGAATGCCGGGCTGCTCCCTGCCGCCTTCGAGATCTGGACGCTGAACATTCGGCATTTCCGTGCACGTGATGGTCGTCCCGGAGCATTTCTATGGAAGACACGACGCGAGATGGAGGTCACAGATAAGCTTGTGGTTGGGCTGGGTGCTACCCTGCGTAGGACGTCCGCTTGGCGCAGGGAAAGCGGCCTCCCTTCTGGGGTGCGTGGAGCGTTGATGCGTCGCACTCCAGTGTCTGGCTCGGCGCAGTAAATAAGCCGTCCCAAGATGTGAAGAGCACAACTTGTATCAGCGGGCGGGCTGCCTCTTAGTAGGACGCGTTGGGATAATCAGCTTCGGGGTTATCTCCGCACAGTGTGCTCTCTTCAGTTACATAACGTATGTTTTCCCGAATCCTTTGGATGTCTCTCGCTTGCGCAGTCACCCGGACATTCGTTTAGGTCTGCTGTTCCGCCCCGGGGGGATTCATCGTGCAAACAAATACCCTCAAAGCATGTTCATGGGCGTCCCAAGGCCGCCGGAGGGCATGTGGCTGTCTCGCAGACCAGCCTGTTTATTTGGTCGGATCTGAGCCGCTTTATCGGCAGTGCCTTTAGCTCGTCGGTGGGCGGGCGCTGGTTCGTCCCGCCCTGGCCGAGGCGGTGAGGCCGCGGTCGCCGCTCAGGTCAGGCAGAGCGGCTGGGTTGGGGGGGGGGGGGGGCGTCCGGACGGCGACCGCAGGGCGATGCGGACATGATCGGTGGCGGTGAGGGACTGGGCCGAGGTCGTGTCGCCGCCGCCGCCGCCCGCTGGGTCGTGCCGGCCGACCGAGCCCTCAGGCGGGGTCGCCGAGGTCGCCGCCGAGCTGGGATGTGGGTCAGGCGGGGCGGCGCGGCGGCCTGTCCCGGTGCCGGCCAGCTGCCGGCAGGACGGCGTCCGATCGATGCGGCGCGGCCTTGGCGGACGCGTGGCCCGCGCCTGTCTGCCGTGGCCCCGGCACGTCCAGGGCGGCGACCTTCGCCGGCCGGCGCCGCCTGGCCGGCCTTCCCCGCACCCGCCGGCCTGCCAGAGTCGGCGCCGGATTACCTGCGCGCGCCGCGCCCCGTCTGCGGCCGTCGTGCGCCGCGCTCACCACACGCGGCACGCTGTCAGCGGCGCGCGGCGGCCCGGAGGCTGGCAGTCCGTGCGCGGCGCTCACCGCGTTTCTGCGCAGTGGTCCATTGAAGCGCTGCGTCATGAGCGTTTGGGGCTCGATCTCATCCAAACACCGCGGCACCGGCCGCTCGGAGGCGCGGCCGCCGGCTTGTATACAATAGTGGCACGGCGAGGCCGTTGGGTACTCGGCTACCGGCCGTGCGTGTTGTGTGCCGGGCTGGGTGCGGCCGAACCGAATGACTGGCTTCTTTCGGGCGCAGACGTGGTCACGGAGCGCGGCCCGGTCGGTCAGGGTCGCAGGGTCTGGCCCGGCCCTGGTCGCCGCGCGTCGCTGACGGCGCGCTGTGTGCCACGCGTCCGGTTGGGACGTACCGTGACCTGCATCTGGCGCCGCCGGTGTGGGGGGTGTGCTCCGCTGGCGTGTCCGGCGCGCGCTTGTGACGCGGCGCTCTGTCCTGTTGCAGGTTCCACTTCCCGTCACGGCCGGCCCGAGAGCCGGGAGAAGCTGGAGGCGCAGCTGCAGAAGATCGCGCAGGCCTTCTCCTCCTACCCGGGCGGGCAGGTGCCCAAAGACAAGTTTGCCGCCATCGCCAAGGTGAGAGGGCTGTTCCGCGCACGCCGCTTTCGGCCGTCCGAAGACGCCTACCGGGCCAGGGCTCACGCTCAGGGAGCCCGTCTCCCGGCGTGGCCCGAGCCGCTGACATGCGCCACGTGGGAGCACTGCCGCTGGGGAAATTCGCCGTTGCCTGCTGCAGTCTAGCCCGGGCTCGGAGCGCAGCGCAGCATCAGCCTCTCCCAGCCTCCCGCCGGGCTTGCCGACTCAGCCAGCCCGGACGTCTTTAAACTGGATCAGCGGCCCTCCCTCCCGCTAAGCCTGATCGCGTGCAGGCGCAGCCGCGGGCGCGGCTGCTGATCCGCAGCAACCCGTCCCGTGCCGCGGAGGGAGCGGCCGCCGCCGGCTGCCGGTTCCGCCCTGTCCCGGCCCGGCCCGGCCCGTCACGAGCGGTCGCTGCGGCGCCGCACGCGGACCCGGCCGCCCCGGCGCCGCCGCGCCGCGCCGCGCCGGCCTGGCCGCACAGACGGTGCGCGGGCGGCCGCTGCTGGCGCCGGCCCCGAATCACAGATGTGTGCAGATGAATAAAACATGGCAGCTGTGTGCTGGTCGGTGCGGCCCCGACCGTCAACAGAGGATAGTGGTCGGGTGCCGCGGCTCCCCGCTCGGCTGGCCCGGCTGACCGCTGCGACCCCGGACAAACGGCGAGTTCGCACCCGAGGCAGTAGGCCAGCGGACGCGACAGAGCTGCCTGAAGGCAACAGCCGATGGCCTTAGGATTTTGTAGTCCACTCAAAAGAAGCTTTACTGCATTACAACTGCATGTTATCGAGCAGTGCTCTCTGTCGCTGGTAACCGGGTGAGCGCCGGCTGCTAGCTGCCGATCCCCGCCGGCGTGTCGTGCGCCCGCCGCGCGGTGCATCAATGACTCTCTCCGCTGAGGGGGGGGGGGGGGGCACGTCCTGGGAAGGGGACGCTCGGCACGCTCCGGCCGGTGGGGAGGCGTCCTCGGGCGCAGACGGCCGCGCCGCCATATGCGGCGGTGGTGGCGGCCGGCCGCGCCATATACGCCGGCGCGACCGGGCCGGCGCAGGCTGCCCTGCACCGCTGCCAGAGGCACCGGCGCCGCCGCCCGGAGCGCTGGGCACGCGGCCGCAGCCACGGCTGATGCGACAGATGGGTTTGGCGTATTGCAATCGCGCCGTGTGTCATACGTCGGCTGGCCGGGTCTGCGCGGTACGCCCGCGCCAGATGTGGGCACAGGTGGACAGTTCGGGTGGGACAATTGTTCTGGTGTCTGTTTAACGAACCTGATACGGAGATACTTCTTTGCTCGCATTTGGACCGCCCAGGTGCGCTTTTGCAAGTTGCCATTCCCTCTCGCACGTTTAGCTTTGCTGGCATGGGTAGACCCAGAGACTACATCATCCTGATCCTCCAGCTTCCATGGCATCCTTTTCGTCCTGCTATGTGCCTCTTCCCGAATTCGTCTCAGCGGTGTGCCGTGTTTGCAATGATACTGTGACTGGTGGCTCTTCAGGCTTAGTGACGTTTAAATATATTCTCGGAGGCCCACTCGGTCAGCGAACAGTGCAGTGCATGGCTCTCAGCAACGGCGGCCATCCGTACCGCTTCAGACGGCCTTTGTCCGGCGCCACAACAATGGCAGCGGTAAGCGATTGTCACGCGCCGGCTCAATGTGCGGTTAGGCGGGGCGCGCGGCGGGCTGTCTCCATTGTGGCCGGGCGGCCGCGAGCGGCGGACTGACGGCCGGCGCTCGGTGTCGGCAGGCGTGCGAGCTGCCGCTCTACTGGAAGGTGCCGCTGTTCCTGGCGGCCGGCGGCGAGAAGACCGGCCACGTCACCGCCACCGCCTTCCTCGACTTCTGGAAGAGGTGGGTCAGAGCTGATCGGCGGCAGCGAAGACGGGCGGCGGACTGGGGCCGCCGGGCGGCGGACCCGGGGGCGGCGGATCCCGGCCAGCTATCGGGCCCGCTTCCTCCGCAGCCGGCCGGCCGGCCGCGCGCAGCGCGCGCGCGGACGCGCAGCCGCCGCTGGCCGAGGAAACAGCGCTCTCACAAAAACTTGGTCAAGGCTGGCGGTCGGCTGGCGCGCGTGCACAACAGGGTCACGTGACCCTCGGCCGGGCCCGGCGGCGGCGCGCGCCCGGACGTCGGGCCGAGCCGCGCGCGCCGGAAAAAGCGGCGCGCCGCCGGTTCCGCGTGCCCGCGCGCTGTTGTCTTCGGCGCCAGCGCGCGCACCCGATTACGGCTGGTCGTTAGCTGGGCTCAAGGTGACGCCGGCCGTTGGGGCGCGCTCCCACGGCCGACGAGAGGGGGCCGCGGGCGGCGCGCTGTTTTGTCGCCTCCCGTCCTCCCACGCCCGTACCCGTCGCAGGACGGAATCGTATCACAACACCCTAGGCTCTTCGTCGTCGTGTGATCGCCCGAGGTGTCGCTCGCTGTGTCGACTAGCTCGGCTAGCCGACATGTCGCTCGGCTAGCCGTCAGGTCGCACGGCTGGCCGACAGATCGCTCCGCCAGCCGACAGCTCAGCTAACACTGGCGCATGTGTCTTCATTGACCAGTAGGGCTCATCTGATCACGTGTCCCGGATGATCATCGGCGTTTTCGTTACAAATTATAACTCAGCAGTGTTGTGACCATGACTTGTTTACGGCTGTTCCAGCGTGATTATGTTTGCCGGCTGCGTGGTACAAGGAGCGTGTGTAGCCTGTCCCTGGGCGGCCGGAACGCGTGTGTTTGTGACGTTAGCGTCGGGCGCCGCCGGCAGGCTGCTGGCCACCTCACACGACCAGGGCGTCGCGCTTCGTGCGCGTGCTGACCGGCGGCCTGCGTAACCACCCTGGTGCCCCGAGGACCTGGTGCCGCTGGTGCAGGATGTGGTCGAGACGCACCCGGGCCTCAACTTCCTCAAGGAGGCTATCGAGTTCCACAGCCGCTACGTGCACACGGTGAGGGACCGATCAGGCCGGTTCGTATCGGGTCAGGTCAGGTCGGGTTGGGTCGGGTCGGGCTTGACTGGGTCAGGTCAGGTCAGGTCAGGTCGGGTCGGACTCTGTGATAGCGACAGGGGGCGTGTCAAACCTATCTGGTCGGCTGCTGGTCCGGCCGGCCGGCTGACGGACGGCGGCGGCCGCTGCCGAGTCACCGGCACTGGCGGGCCAGTGTCCCGGACCCCGGCCGCCGGCTCCGCCTCGCCGTCTGACCCGCCGCCGCCCGCCGCAGGTGATCGCGCGCATCTTCTACTACTGCGTCCAACCGCTCGTGGAGCGGCCGCATCACAGTGCCGGAGCTGCGCCGCTCCAACCTGCTCAGCACGATCCAGCTGTTGGAGCAGGAGGAGGACATCAACCAGGTGGGTGCGGCGGTGGCGGCCGGCAACACGGCCGTGGCGCGGCACCGGGCCCCTGCCGGACGCCCCCCCCCCCCCCCCGCGTCCCGCGGCGGGCCTGGCGTCGGCCGCGCCTCGGTTCTGCAGAGCCGCGGGGGTCCCGGCCGGCGGGTCCGAGCTCGATGCAAGATGCTCTCCAGACAACTAGGGAGATGCGGAATCGTAATCGCGTCCAGCTCGTGATGTGTATGTGTGTGGCTGCCTTGCAGATCACAGACTATTTCTCGTACGAGCACTTCTACGTGATCTACTGCAAGTTCTGGGAGCTGGACAAAGATCACGACCTGCCATACAAAGACAAGTCGGACGTGGCTCGGCACAACGACCACGGTAAATACGCCGGCGACCGACGTACCACGGCACCTCTGTTTTACCTGCTCCCGGGGACGGTCGCGCCTCGCCGAACAGAGCCTTTGCAAAGGCGGCCGAGTAACGTCGCATACCTCGGTCGGCCGTGACCTAGGACCTGTTGACCTAGGTTCTGTTGACCTAGGATTGTTGACCTCCCACCGGGGTGTGGAGCGCCCTGCTGCTGTAGAGGGCCTGCTGGCGACGCGACACAGAGTGCCGAATGATTGTCACTCAGGTACCGAGTGGCTCTGAAGGCCGAGGTCGTGGCACATGATGGTGAACCAGCGATCGTTGCAGCCGTCTCGTCGCGCATCATCGACCGCATCTTCAGCGGCGCGGTGACGCGCGCGCGCGCGCAGGCAGGAGAAGATGACCTACATGGAGTTCGTGTGGTTCCTGCTCTCGGAGGAGGACAAGAAGCACCCGACGCCATTGAGTACTGGTTCAGGTGAGCGTCGTCGGCGGGCGGGCCGGCTGCCGCAGCGGCCACGACGGCGCCCGCCGGCCAGGCGACGGTCCGCAGCACGGCGGCTGAGCTGTGGTGGGGTGTGGACCGGCGCGACTTCGCGCGACGATGCGGAAGCGAGTTGGCTGGTGGGACGCGCGCCGAGACGCTTGCTGTGATGTGTGGTCCAGTGCCGTCAGCTTGAGCTCGTCCGTCAGCTTTGGAAAACGGCTGGTATCGAGGCAGGTCCCCGGATGGGGAGCCATCCCGGGTCTGCGCCGTCGCCCGCCTCTTTGTGCGACAGTCTGCATGGTCGCGTGCGGCCCGTCTGACGGAAATTGGCCACAGCTGGCGTTGTTTTGCCGCCGTGAGCGGCTCGGCGCGCCGGCCGGAAGGCGCCGCGGCCGGCCGGGTCAGCGCCCGCGCCGTCCAGATAGTTGACAAGGCCGCGCGGTTTGTGGCGTCTGGCGGCGTTATCGGCGCGCGGCCGGAGGCGGGTCCGCTCGGAGACAGACGCCTTCCGACCGGAAACGCGCCCGGCCGACCGTGCCGACGTGTTGACGGCGGGGACGCCGCGTCACCCGCCGGTGGCGGCGCGCCTCGCGTGGTGCCGGGCGCTGCTCTCCCGCGGAGAGGGCGCCGCTCCTCGCCGCTGCCGTCCGCTCACGTCCGCCGCGCCGCGTCGGCGTCTGGCCTGGCGGAGCTGTGGACGTGTCAGGCGGCGGTGTTAACGCCGGGCACGGCGCGGTGCTCTAGCCCCGCCGCCGTCTCATCTGGCCGTGCCCGCTGACGTTGGCCCACCTCCCCGGCAGGTGTATGGACCTGGACGGCGACGGCTTCCTCTCCATGTACGAGCTGGAGTACTTCTACGAGGAGCAGCTGCAGCGTATGGAGGCGCTCGGCATGGAGACGCTGCCGTTCGAGGACTGCCTCTGTTGGGTGAGCGGGCGGCAGTGACGGCTTTCCCGGCGGTGGCCGTGCGCTCCGGGTGCTGGAGTCGTGACACGGGTCCGTGTCCGGGCGGCGACCGGGTCCGATGTGGTCGCGAGCGGGCCCCATCCGTCCTAACGAACGCGGCACGCTTCATGAATACGTCTGGCGACAGCGACTGCTGCTGGCTCGACAGTGGGGACTGGGTTTGCCAGCGCCTGAGTGTTTTTTTGCGACAATGGTTACACAGGACCGTGTGGCGGCTCATGCAGACGCGTTGCTACTCGGAGTAAGCCGATTGGATACGGGTATAGGGTCTTGCCCTGTTGACACCCGGTCGTGACAGTCACTCCCTGCGTACCGCGTGTTCTCGCTGACGACAGTGACGCTGAACCGGCAATGAGGGTCGCACTCGCTCCGCAGATGCTGGACATGGTCCAGCCCGAAACACACGGCAAGATCGCGCTCAGCGACCTCAAGCAGTGCCAGATGGCCAACATCTTCTTTGACACGTTCTTCAACCTGGAGAAGTACCTGGAGCACGACCAGCGCGACCCGTTCGCCATGCAGCGGGACGGGGAGCCCGGCCAGCCGGTGGGTGCCGCCTCTGCCCTGCGCTACCACCGTGGGCCGGAGCGCAGTGGCGGGTTCACCCGATGGGTTATGGTGTGGTAGCTTGCTACGGTTCCTGTGTCGGGAGCAATTGGTGCTGAATGATTTCATGTGATTGGGGAGATCTGGTCGCCAGCCAGGCCTGCCCTTGGCGTCGATTAAGGTTTCGAGGCGGGCGGTCACGGATGCGAACATCACTGTTCTTAACCAGAGGTCAATTGTCGTAATGGCGGACGTGACCTTTTACTGGGCGGATGGGGCGGCCGATACCGTGGCGGTGCGTCCGGCCCCGCCGCCGTGCGGCTCTGGCGGCGGTGGCTGCGACTGAAGTGTGTCCCATGGCCGCCAGATGTCGGACTGGGACCGGTTCGCCGCCGAGGAGTACGAGCTGCTGGTGGCTGAGGAGGGGGCGGGCCGAACAGGATCCCGAATTGTGAGTTACTGGCGCGCGCTCGAGTGGCCGGGCGGCGCTTTCGCTTGCGCTGCTTAGTGGCTCGACTATGTCTTGCTCCCATAGAGGAGGTCATTCCATGAGCATCATGAATCTTAGATGTTTTTGTCTGGCGTAGGTAATCTGTGAAGCCAACGGGCGCGTCTCGTTGCCAGACAGTAGTCAATCAAACGAGAGGGTTGGGATCGGGGACGCTGTTGTAGAGCGCTCGTTTCAGCATGAGCTCTGTGTTGTCGGTTAAGTATATAATTCGGAAATGATGCGTTGCAGGGTTGTTGTTGAAGATACGCCTTAGCTTAAGTAAGTACCCATGGTACTTAACCCAAAAACTTAAACCCCAACGTGTACATGTTAATGAAGCGCCTTGGTGTGTGTGCATAACAACATTTGTTTTGTGCTTTTATTCGTTTTTCTTCTTTTCGTTCCATACGCCATTATTGCCAGGAATGATTTGGATGGTAACAAAGCAGTCCAAACACAAATTTATTGTGCTCATTTGACAGCATTGATTAACATGACACCAAGTTTGAGTTTACCGTCCGTGCCGTCCTGAGACGCATGAAAACACAAAACACGCGCCCACGTGATTCCGTGCGCATCGCCCACCACGCCGCAAGCGAGGCCCCGCGGCTCGGCCGGGGCACTGTGCAATCCCGGGGAGGGGGGGGGGGGGGGGCGAGACACTTGGCGCGCTCCATACAGGTGGTGCCGTGGTGCAACACAGGTGGTGCCGGTCAGATTGGTGCTTCACTGACGGGTGGTGCCGGTCAGACTGGTGCTTCGCTGGCGGTTGGTGCCGGTCGGACTGGTGCTTCGCTGACGGTAGAGTCAGTCAGGCTGATGCTTCGCTGACGGGTGGTGCCGGTCAGACTGGTGCTTCGCTGGCAGTTGGTGCCAGTCAGACTGGTGCTTCACTGTCGCGATGTCGGTGTACAGCGGGGAACCAGCTGCTTGTTTCGTCGCCGCTGGCGTCTTCATCTTTGGGGAGGGGCGCACATGTCTCAACCTCTGCGCACCGTCCGCGCCGACCCTCATATACCACTGCGTGGGTTGAGACCGTGGGGACTCCGGGCATGGTAGGGACGTCAGCTGGTCGGCGTCCGGCTGACGGCGACCCTCATACACCACTGCGTGGGTCGAGACCGTGGGGACTCCGGGCATGGTGGGGACGTCAGCTGGTCGGCGTCCGGCTGACGGCGACCCTCATACACCACTGCGTGGGTCGAGACCGTGGGGGCTCCGGGCATGGTGGGGACGCCAGCTGGTCGGCGTCCGGCTGACGGCGACCCTCATACACCACTGCGTGGGTCGAGACCGTGGGGGCTCCGGGCATGGGGGGACGCCAGCTGGTCGGCGTCCGGCTGACGGTGACCCCGCCTGCGCCGCAGCCTGTACGAGGAGGACGGCGACCAGGAGTCGGAGCCGCTGGAGCGGCTGAGCATCACGGAGCCGGTGCGCACGCCGGCCCGGCCGCGGCCCGACGCTGACGACGACTATGCCGAGACGGACGCCGACTACACCTACATCTCGGACGCGCCCGCCCACGCCAAAGTGGTGTGAGCGCGGCGCGCCACCGCAGCCAGCGAACAAGCGCGGCAGCTGGCGCCGGCGCTATTTA